AATCTCAGAATGCTGACTTAAATCTCAGAATGCTGACTTTAATCTCAGAATTCTGACTTTAATCTCAGAATTCTGACTTTAATCTCAGCATTTGGATCTTAATGTCGATGGGCCCCATGAAGGCAGAGATGTGGAGCACTCAGCTTCACTGACAAAGATGTGAGTAGTTTGAGAGGAACAGGAACAGATTGGTGGAAAATTATGGAATTAGACGACTTCTTACGTGTCCAAATGGTCCCTGGTGATTCTATTTCATTAATGGAAGATCAGAAAGTGATTAAAAAAGGGAGCTAGTTTATAGTCTCTAAAACAGACATGGCTATAGCTTAATGCTAACATGTTTGTTAGCTGACAGAATTCAGTCAGAATTCAGAGAAAAAAGTGAGAATTGTGAGATTAAAGTCAGAATTCAGATTTCTTTTCATATTATACTGAAATAAAATGTAAAAATCTGTTAAGTTTTTATATTTTTTTCAGTGGCCTTAATCGTCTTCCATAGAATAGAACATATTGAAAGAAGAAAAAGATTTTTATCTTAAATGCAAAATATTTACATATTTTATACAATTTTGGTATAATTACTGCTCATTGTGGGTCGCTGTGTCAGCTAAAGGCATTTTATACTCCAGTCTTTATACTCCAGGTAGCGATTAATCGATCACTATATAGGTAGACGTTTATTTCAATAATCGATTAATCACAATTAATTGATTCAGCCCTTAATCAGAACCTCTGTGCAAAAATAACAACCTAATTGAACATCCATCCATCCAAGTTTTGTTACATTTGCATTACTGGATTAGAAGTGGTATGTCAGCACAAATTAACGAAAAAAGCAAGCTTTGCATTAAGAAAGGAAAGATATGTTGTTTTTGGTTGATGGTGTTTGGTGGTTTTCTAAGACGCTTTATAATCTTACAGCTTAATGTGACTTTAAACTGGCCTCACTAACCTAAAAGATACACGAAAAACTGACTGATTATTTTAAAATGGTTTAAATTCTGGGGCTGTTTTATTCCTTAATCCACATCTTAGAGTGATATCAGATTTAATACAAGAATAAACGGAGATGTGTAACTTTAATCTAGTTCCTGACTGATATTATGTACATAGGATTATCAGAATACTATATTTACTGCTATCTTATTATTTATACCTTGCAAAGCGACCATAATATCCTTTATAGTGCTCATACAGTAAATGTTTTATAATAAATGTGTGTTTAAAATACTCAATGGGATTTCTCTCCGCAGACTAACAGTCATGGCTTCCTCTACTCCACCCAACTTCTCCTGGGTGGAGCCTGGAAAACTGGCTGGACTGGCTATGCCCAGGATGCCATGTGAATACAGGTACCTGCTGGACAACGGGATTAAACACCTTGTTTGTCTGTGTGAGAGGAAACCACCGAACCACGACTCCTGCCCCGAGTTACAGCTTCACCACATTAAGATAGTCGACTTCACTCCTCCTTCACCCGGTCAGATCGATAGATTTCTGTCTATCGTGGAAGAGGCCAACTCCAAAGGAGAGGTACGAGCTCAGACACTAGCAGGGTCATCTGTCTTTTATTACACCTTTAATTACAACATAATGTGAAAAACGGCCAATTTTTCCAGATATCTAGCTTTTAATTTTTTAAAGTTGGAAAGAAAAACAACCCCCCTCAGCATTGTGCTTCCACCACCATGCTTTGGCATGAAGATGGTGGGTACAGGGTAATGTTGATCCCATACGTGGGATTTTGCATGTAGGGCAGATAGTTCAGTATTCAGTGCTCTGGTCAGAACACCTACCTCCACCTGCTGCTGTATCTCATTTATGTCGCTGTCTCAACTAACTCCCCATCATTCTAGAATAAAGGCCAAAAACATTAAGATGGACTCCATTTAATCATAGGTTGAAGCTATTTGGAACAAAATGTATTTAAGGGGGCAAAGTAATACAGATTGAATACATATAGAGCTGGTGAAGATTCTCAGTCATCCAGGTCATAGTCATACCAAAAAAGTTTAAAAACAATCCACTGGACTTTGTTTCCAAGTTTGAAGACGTTTCGCTTCCCATACAGGAAGGTTTTTCTATTCAAAATGTCAGAAATAGCGTTGAGTTCCAGGCTTTATAGAGTGGACCAACGAAGCTGTGGACCTGCCTGATGAGGCGAGGTGCTCTGGTCTCCTCTATGGAGTGGGGGTCGCGATTATAGCGGGAAGGAATGAAATCAATCGGTGAATTGTAGGTTTTTGAAAGCTGAAATCTGAGTCCTGCCCCTCTGTTTAAGGTTGGTAAAAAAAACTAATTCCCTCTAACGACCCCCGTTTCAGAGACAGAAAGTTTTCAGGTGTTACAGGCTAACATAGAAACAAAACAACCCCCATTCTAAAGGGGAGGGGCCGCTCGTCAGGTTCAATTTGCATGTTTCCTACGCCGAAACAAGGCTTTACTTTGGTCCACTCTACAAAGACTGCAACTCGACGCTATTTCTGACATTTTGAATTGAAAAAGCTCCTGGATGGGAAGAGAAACGTCTTCAAACTTGGAAACAAAGTACAGGAATACATACTGCTCAATTATAGTTTAATTTTAACCAAAACTATAACTTGTGATCATTACATGACAAAATGTGGGGGGGAAAATCAATGCGTCAGAAGATCAGTTACAACCAGACACAGTTTCATTGCAAAAAAACAACAGCAAATACCTGCTAAGCTCAGAAGCTAATGCAGGGTGTGTACAGATCTCAGTCGTCTGAAGCAAACAAACGTTGTTCTGTTTGTCACCAGGGTGTGGCCGTTCACTGCATGCACGGCCACGGAAGAACGGGGACCATGCTGGCCTGCTACCTGGTGAAGACGAGGAAAATGGCAGGGGTCGACGCCATCAAAGAGATCCGCCAAATTCGCAGGGGCTCCATCGAAACCCACGAACAGGAAAAGGCAGTGGTGCAGTTTCATCAGCGCATAAAGTAACTTGATCATGAAAACAGGCAGTCCGGCCTACACTGGAACCACAGACCTCATTTATGTGCAAACTAACATTAACTGAAAATCAAAGGTATCGCTGTTTTAGATTCAAATGAATGATCAATTCTAACGTTTACGTGATTCAGACAAACATTTCTGCTCTAAGACATGCAGACCTTGAAGGTTGTGCCTTGCAAAAGTTAATAATTGCAGTTTGTCACTTTACAACCACTAAGATTTTATGGAAACACTTTTTCCAAGACTTTCAAATGTTAAGTATAATTACGTCTTGACTTTGACTCATTTTAAAACACAGAAATGCTTTGATCCGAATCCTTTGTTCTGCTCGTATGTTTAGACTCATTGTTCTGTTCCTGCGTAAAATCTTTGCTCTACTTTCTGGTTTTTAATCAAAGTCTACAACTGTTCTTTATGCGTGGGTCATTATGATGCGCTTCAGAAAATAATGGTATCTAAATAATACAGAGTTTTAGTTACGCACTGCTATAATCCTATTTACTTAATCATCTAAAATGTAGATGCATTTCTAAATTGTTTGTTTACCCTTATGTTAGTCTATCACATAAAATCTTGTTAAAGTTTAATGAACTTTATCTTTTTAAATTGACATTTTTTCAAGATGCTTTTTTTTGTCTGTTTCAAAATGAAAGTTAATTTTTTTATATAAAAAAACAGGAAACTTAGTTTATGCACTTGTTGTCAGTGAGAAAAGACGCTGACGCTCTCTGAATGTCAGCTTCTCAGGAGCAGACGCCCTGCTCATGTTTCCCTCCAGGTTCCTGCAAAAGGAAAAATTTACTCATTTACTTGAAATTAAGGGTTTGGATGAAAACAACTTGTTTTATAGTAACAGACATGAAGCCAGGGTGTGAGAATTTACATTACTCAGGGACATTTTTTTTATGCCATTACAGATTGTGTTAAAAACTTTGCTTTATTGCTGGTTCCAGACTACGGTGGCCCAGAGGTGTATGTCTTGGGAGGGTGACATGGTAAAGCCATGCTTTCATCTCTTTTCTCTCTGGGCTCAGAGTCCAGATTGACGTTAACATTTAGTTCTAACTCTCCGTCTATCAACCAGTTAAATCTAAAACAGCTGAAGACATCTCCATGGTAACCACAGACTCCATTTGTGTTTTTATAGTCAGGCCTTCATTTCTGTAGTTCAAGTTCAGCACAGAAACTTTTTCCACACAATCACCCGACTATACAACTTATGTGTTTATAGTTTGTAATTGATCAGCCTGTCTTTATTAGCAGAGGTCAGAGGTCACCCCTATTGGAACACAGAGCACCATCAGCTCCATTGTATGTCACTTCTGTTGTGCTATTTAAATTTTTCGGTGAGGGTTTTGTTTTAAGCCTGAGACCTCTGGGCCACCGTACCGGACCCCAACGTGGAGCTGGACCTGCTGGAAAGTTTAAACTCACTCATCTGGAGCGAAGTTGTTCAGACCCTTTTTTCTTTGATCTGCCAAAGACATAAAAACGTTTTATTTTGTCATGTAAAGGAAATGTGTAACAGAATCACAATAAAAGTCTGAAATTTCCTTTAATGTTTTGGTGTTTTTCCTTTTTTTTTTTGTACCTCGTTTCTCTTCTTGCCGGTTGAAAAGCTGATTTCCTGCTTGCTTCTCCTGGTTTTGTTCTCTGTTGTCATTTCCTACAGATTTGATCTTTTCCTAGACATGGAGGTACAAAAATGTGAATTCTCCATGGTAAATCAAACTTTGAGGTTAATCTATGACAATCAGGTCATTGAATTCTTTTTTTTCTACCTTGTTAATTGGCGTCCTGTCCCCCAGCTGCTGCAGGATCACCATCATGTCCAGATCTTCCTCCTCCTCCTCTTCATCTCTCTGTTGAACCTCCTGCAGCCTCTTCTGAAACTGCCACTCCAGGTCAAGCTTCCTCAGTCTGTCATTCTCTTCTGCGCTCCTTTTATCTTTTGCTCGAAGCTGCTGCGCCTCCTGCTGCAGAAGCTCCACGGCTTTTAGTCTCTGCCGCTTCTCCAGCATCTCCTGGGCTTCCCTCCTCCAGGGATCACACAGTGCTTGGGGATCTTTTTTCTTTGCAAGGCCTGAGCTCTTCTGCTTAGACTGAGGCTCTTCGAAAGAAACGTGTTTGGTTGGAGTGATGCTCACTTGGGGTTTTTCTACTTTATCTCCGCATAGGATGGATCTCTGCTGCTGCCAAAGAGCTGAGGGCTGAAGAAGCTTCTCAGGAGCTGATAAAGGACGAGCGTAGATATGAGCTGCTTGGTTTGGAGAATTTATTTGCTGTTCGCTGGCTTTATGAACCTGGTTCATCTTCACCTGAAGCCCAGCAGAGCTCTGCTGGAAGGTAGTGAGGGGAGGGTTTGACTGCGTGCTCCTGGCTCTGGTGATGGGGATGTCGATGCGCATTGGTTGGACTGATGGCGTCGGTGTGGACTGCTGTGTAAAAGGGATTCTCCAGACGCCGGCAGGACTGGGACGGGTTCCTTGCAGCTGTTTGGTAGAGCCGCTGCCATCAGAGAGGATGTCATGTGTGGAAACGCTTGAGCGAACAGGGAAGGATGAGCAGGAGCTTGTTGACTGTTTTGAAATGTGGTTCCTCTGCGCACATGTGTTCTGCCTTTGGTCCAGCAGGGGGCCTCCAGCATCCGTACACAGGTTCTCCTCAGACATGGCCTGACGCTTAATGGGAGAACAATGGAAATTCAGCTGCTGATGTCTCTAAAGTGACATGAAAAATTCCAATACAACAAGGTGAATTTCTCAATTTCTTTATATACGTGAAAATGGAAGGTGTTAAACTCTTATAAGGCAGTACAAATGTTTTAATGGTGGAGTTGCATGACCATACCATGAAGCTCCTCCTACTGGAGCTCTGCTCATTCAAAGGAGTCACAGCTGTTGGTTGGTTTGACTCAAAGGGCGACTTCTCCTTCGACTTGGGGTTGGGTAGGGTCTGATATTCCCTGCAAAGGGTCTGAAAGAGTAAATCAATTATTGCCTTTATTATTGACAAAAAGCAGCTAAAAGTTGTCTTCTGTGTTTTATTTGATTAGATAATGTATGTCAATAAACGTTATCGAATTTTAACCAAAGCTCTGATAATATTTGATCTCTGGTTACCCAGTTATCAAGGTGGAAATGCTTCAAAAGAAATAATAATGAAAAACTAGTTTAGGGAAATGTACAAATACTTAACTCAAAATAAGTAATAAATAAATGTTTCTGGTTTCTTATTAGAAATATAAATTCAAATACTATTTACTTATGTTTTAAAAAATTTCTTTTTGCATAGATCCTGATGTGTTCTGAATCTGTCATTAATATGTTTTATTCCTTTTTTTTGGGGGGGGGGGGCATGTCTTTACCTGAAGAAAAGGAAAATACAAATTAAGCAAATAAAATTCTCACATCAGTGCAAAGGTTGATGCTTGAAACGGATGCAGAGTTGTTTCCTCTCCCATTGGGGACACCGTGTTCCCCTCCATCCTCCAGGCTAAAGCCTGCTGGAACAAGCCGAAAATAATAGAAGCAAAGCTGTCTTTTTTACTCATCCTCATGCATTGAACGTACTTCCCATTCAGGAATGTGGATTGCACACGCCCAGCTGCCAAAAGTCATCACAACAAAGGGTCACTCACCGGTCATGTTAGGGTTGGAACGGTACAGCTGGCGGTTTTTCTGCATCCTCTGGTCTTTCTTTCTTTTGCTGCCTCCATGGAGCCTCTCTGAGGGGCTGCCATCCACAACGCAGTGCAGCGTCCACCCCCCGTTGTTCAGCTTCCTCTGTTCTCCATCACCTTTTCAGACAAAAACATTTTCAAACAAGATGCAAAAATAATAAATATGAGTGGAAGTGCAGAACTTACCCATTCCTAAATGGTTGTTGGTTGTTCTGTTTTCTGGGGACGTTTCCTTCAGTAGTTCCCAGAGGCCATGGTAGCTCGCCGCAAACTTTTCCACCTTTAGGGTCACTACAGGTCCAGTTTGCATCATAATCGCTGCTGCCCTTAATACGTCAAAAATGTTTATGAAAGATATTGTGACATTTCTCATGAAGAGAGAATATTATCTTAACATGACTGGATGTTTGTTACAGGATGTAGTCATGTGGAAAACATAAAGGATAAGAAGGGCTTAATATCCAAGAAAACTGATCATTTACATTAAAAAACTACTGAATAAAGTTCATGTATTCACAAGCTTGCCAGTTATTTTCTGTGATTTGGTGCATTAGAGCGTTTTCTATTAGCTTTTCAAAGTTACATGTCAGAAATCCAATAGAACGTCCCCTTGAGGTCAGAACGTGGAGCAGGACTGTCTGTTTCAGACATCCTCTGGTTCAGATTTAATATTTCTGCTGCTCTCATGAAATATAGTCAAAGCTGCAGATATAAACTTTTTATTTTCCCTCATGGCTGCTCTAAACTAGTTCTGTATTTAAACGGATTTCTCTGCCGGGTTTAATTGGAATTTGGACCTTTAATCTGGGAACGGTTCCCTACCAGGATAGAGCTTGTTCTCATTTAGGTTGGGTATCCAGTGGTTACTCTATTTGCTAAATATTTTTAGCAATATCAGCTGATAAGAACATGTAGTTCTGTTCATTTTTTAACAGTACAATCCTTTTGTAGAACTTGTTGCCAGATGTAGCTTACCTGTCTTGGCTGAGTCCAACCAGGCTGTGACCGTCCACACTGAGCAGCTGATCTCCAGCTGCTAAGCTCCCGTCCTGCATGCAGCATCAAAACATCTCAATCTCTTGCATAATAAGATATATTCCCTTTGAAATGAAGCTGAGATCCTCTCACCATTTCGGCCGGTCCTCCCTTGACAACAGATTTAATATAAATCCCGAGGTGACTCTGGCCTGCTCCCTGCAGCAGAATATTAGAGTCTGTTCATTCTCTGAATCTGTGTTGACAGTTTTGATGTTTTTACAGTCATCACCTTGGCTGCTACTATACTGACTCCCATCCCACTATTCAAAGGCTTATGCAAAGTGATGTTCACAATCTCAGGTTGTCTGTGTGCTTCCTGATGAAAATAAAAGTACAAATAAAATGCATGATTTCATCTCACAGTTAATTTAGCCTGTCAAAACGTCTCTGCATAGCATCTGTTCTTGTTACCAAGTATAAATCCCCATCCCCATTTGTTCTTTCACCAAAGTGTGCTGTCCAGTCTCCTTGGGAATGAGGCACAAAGGTCAAACAGCAGAGGCCTGAGAGTGAGATAGAAAGGATGCAGCTAACTTCTAAATTCAGAATAAAGTGTGGTTCAACTTTTACATCTGAATGGAAGGTCTCCTACCTTTCTGACATATTGGCTCCAAAAACTCTGCGAGCCCCTGAGGGATTCCTCTCACTGTGTCACAGGAATATCCTCCCTCCGGCAACAGGAAAGGCAGGAGCAGATTGAGCCTCTCCTCCAACCGGATTTCTTGTCCTTCACTGTGAATCAGGTTATCGGCCGAGGCCTCGGCAGCCTTCACCACGGCATCCATCAAATCCTGCAGCGAAGGTGACAGACAGTAAGAGACAGCTGCTGCATTTTAAGGAAGAGTCGATCAAGGAGGGGACATCCAATCTGCCTGCAAAGATTCTGAGCCGACGGATGACCCTGGCCTTTGACATCCACTGTGTTCATGCAGAGGTGGAGATGAATCATCAAAACAGATGAATGATGCTTCGGCGCCATTGCTGTCTCCTTTAAAATTGTTATTCTTTTTCAATCCTTATATTACCTCCAACTCCTCATCTTTGGTTTACAGCCACTCCCAAACTGTCACTCACACAATTTACACATCTAAGTAGGGTGGACTGAACAGCTTTTGCACCTGTTAATTATTTAACCGTTGTACATCTCCCACCATATGCTCACTTTTGCGTGTGCGTTTCTTTTTTTTTTAATCTTTGAGAAACAGGCCCTTGGAGGTATTTCCTGTATGACTTCTATTTGAGTCTTCTATGGGTTTCTTTGCATTTATTTACGGCTCTGCACTGCCTAATTAGACTTTGTCCTTCAGCTGTTCTGCTCTTAGCTGCTCAGCTCCTCTTCATTCCATCTGATTAGCTCTTCTGGCTCATTGGCCATCTTCCATTGCTGCCATAGCTTATTTACTCACATTTTCTGCTTGATTTTTCTATCCTGTCTGTCTCTCTACCTGTGCATCTACGTCTCATCCCAAACCATTTTCCTTCTTCATCATAACAGGGATTTAAGTGGGAGAAAACAGGTGCTGGTACTCGTCTTAATGTCATATAAATATGTTACAGAAACAGTGGTAATATTTTACGTAGATCTATCTTTTATTTGTGGATAAATAGTTTTATGTATATAAAGTAATAAAAACAAACAAACAACAAATCTTAATAGAATAGAATAGAAAAGAAAATCCCTTTATTGTCCCACAGTGGGGAAATTCTGGTATGAGCAGCATTAAAATTATAATTAATCAACTTTTATTTACTCTAAGACTTATGATGATGACATGAAAATAGAAATAACAAAGGATTACAGATGTTTTATAAAATAAAACATCTTTTAATACAATAAAGTGAGACTAAAGGTTTCATTAAATTCAGGGGTTCTTTCACTTTAGCCATATTATTTAACCTTGTGTGCCTGGGACACCAAGTATTGAAGTAGGGCACAAAAAAAAAAAAAAGAAAAAAAAACCTGGGAAAAAAAAATCATAATTTTAGTAGCCAAATCATAACAACTACATATTTAAAATAAAAATGTGTAATTAAGTAGTGAAAAAGGCTATACTACAGCAGGTGATGCTTTAACAAGTTCGTGAGCTGATGAGTCAGCAACGGAAATACTGGAAAAAAACAGGCCAATTAGGGGCTGTCACAGCTAATGTGTAAATGCACATTAATGTGCGATTAACACATGCTTCCATACATTTTGCACCTCATCTGTGCTGAGCGTTTTTTTCTGCTCCAGCTGTTTCTACTGTCTCTTTAAAATGTCCACTCTGTTCCAACTCCTGTCTGACTCCTTCTAAGGAGTCACTCCTTCAATATAAGGAGGGGTTTTTTGCCTCTTGTTGACAAAAATACAGTTATGCTCTACCAAAGCAACACTAAACCTTGAATGAAATAAAAAATGTGAAAAATTATAAGCGCAAAAGCAACACAGTTATGTTAATTAATCCTATGTTTAACCTTGAAAAAGAAAGGGCTGAGGAGAGGGAGAGATATTAGATTCAAACGATGGATTACATTATGCATTTATTTGCTTCCTCATTTTAATCCCTCTATAAATCTGTTTTCTTTGTTAATTTTCCTCCATCATAGGTAAAATACAGTTATATTGTGTGGAAGTATATGCTAACCTGATGGATTTGCTCCGCATATCCATCTGGAAACCTTCCGTTGAAGTAATTTTGGGAAGGGGCGAAAATACTGGTTAGCTGATTGGCCTATGTTGGTGATAGACGGGCCAAATAAACCAATCAGATCAACGAAGCATATGACGTACTAACAGAGCGACGACGAAGAGAAGCCAATTGATAGATCCAACTCTTGCCGAAACCAATCGGGAGAAGAGCAAAAACATCTTTTCCTCTGAGAAAAGCCTCCAGAGCAGTGTTTTGCTCTTCTTTCAGTGAAGAAATACTCTGTAATTCCGATAAAACTTGCTCGATAGCCACGCTAACGCTAGTTTCATCGGCTGAAGCCGCCATGTTCTTTAGACTGAACTGTCGCGCTTCTCGTTGCGTCACACCTCAACCCGCCTCAAAGCCAACGCTGATTGGACGTTCGTTTGGTGAACGGCTCCAAATTTTCTTTAACGGAGAGTCTCCAGACTGATTAGCGAGTGAAACCTTGAAAGCTGGCGAGATCAGGATGGTCTCACGGGGCTAAGTATATGCACCAATTTTGCTGCAAAATGTGTTAAATTACTTTATTACTCTTATTTATTGCACTCATATGGACAAAAGTCCCACTAAGCACCCTATACTTCAAAAACTTCTGGACTACATTTCTGGTATGTCAAAAGGTAAAATCTGGAATTGATGGCATTGCGGATCATTGTATATTGACCCACTTAAAGCACTAGTTGTTAAATAACTTTTCAGTATTTGTGCAGATAAAACTCTAAGTCTTCAGATGTTTGTTTCTATAAGCTTTCCACATCAAAGGAAGGAATTTAAATGCCTCAGCCAGAATTCTGATGAAAATAAAATATAGTTTATATTTCTCCTCATTGGCTTTCATTCATTGACTTTCTATTAATTCCCGAAATAATTTAAAGTCATCTTACCTTATAACAGAGATCTGATCATTTTGCTTCTACCAGAGCACTTAACTCTTACACTGCTGGTTCCTAGATGTTCTAAAAGTAGAATGGGAGGCAGATCTTTTAGTTATCAGGCTACTCTCCCATGGAACCAACTACCAGGTTATCCTGAGCTATCTCTATAGTTCTGCTGCTATAGGCTTAGAGTGCAGGAGGACAAAAGGGTTGCTTTATATCATTCTGCTTCATTCTATCTCTATCCTCCAATTCTGCAGTATTTGTTAGTTCAAACCCTAACTTTATGTTCTTTTTGCTTTATCTTCATGTAGCTGCTTCATCAGGTTTGGCACAGTGTTTAGCTGTGATACCATGCTGGAGGGAGGCATTAGCTGGGCGTTTGCTATCAACAACTTGCATTATAGATGATAGAGTTGGACATATTTTTCAGTGTTTAGTCCTGTCTCTTTCTTAGACATAGCTATGGGCTCAGCTTTTACTGTGTTGAGCTGCTCTCTTTCATCCCTTTGACAAGAAAACCAGCTTAGAGTTTGTCTGCTTAACAGTTTTTTTTCCCCCCAACAGCTAGGTCACTGTTACCTTTTCTAACCTAGTCAGTAATTATGGATCAGGGCTTTTATGTTCCTTTTGTTTTTCTGCTCCTGTCTTCTCAAAACCCCAGTCGGCCCCGACAGAAGGCCGCCCACGCTGTCTGGTTCTGCTGGAGGGTTCTTCCTATTTAAATATTTGTTTTCTCCTCTCCACTGTCTCTGCATGGATGCTTAGGGTGAAGGATTGCTATAGAGTCAACATCATGATACAAGCGAGTATCTGCTGTCACCACATCAGGAGGAACATATCCTGCAAAATCAATTACTTCTTGCATTCCATTGGGATTCCTTAGACAGAAAAATCTTAACCAGTCAACACGATATTATTAAATTGTCTCTGCAAAGTTCCATGAGATGACATGTGATGTGAATCTGTGCAATATATAAATAAACTGAAACTGAAAGGACACTAGGAACCAAAATAACGATGCTCTTTATGCATGATTCATTATCATATTTGTCACTGAAGTCATTAATAATTCACAATATTAAATCAATGAGCTCAGCCAGTAGCTATAAATGCTTTTCAATTGCTGCAAACCTTGTACTTTTTCTCATACTAAGCTGTCTTAGAATATAGGCCCCAAATATCAATATTTCTTAGGATATGTGCTTTTTTTCTAGAATTGAGCAGGCAAGGGATACACTTTGCCAATAAGATAAGACTATTTACACTCAGAATAAGAAAAGAGCAACTGGCTTAATATCTAATTAGCTTATTTTAAGGGTAAACATATTAATTCCATTGGCAAATCATCTTATTTCATTTTTGCTGCGTAAACTATTTGTTCTGATAAGAACAAAACTGCAGGCAAACTGTGGGTGGCCAGGGTCAGTGAAGTGAAGGACTACTCACAAGGGGAATCTGAGGCTCATTGGTTCCACAGAGGTAGCCAGCCATCAACATCTGCAGCTGCAGGGAGTTCAAGTTGAAACAGGAGCTCTGAATGTCCTTAGCATCCAGCACTGAGTACTTTCTCATTGTCAGAAGAGTGGTCGCCTAGTAACAAACCAGGCAATACTATTTTAGCAGCTTGCATCCAAGGAGACAGTATAATCCATGGTTAAAGAAATAATTATATCAAATAAAAGTAATGATGGTAGGGAAGAGCATGCATCATTCAGCTTTATACCTGTATTATGTGGCTCAGGTGGCAGTCGGCAGCCAGCTCTAAGCCCTGCCTCTCTGCCCAGGCCTCAATGGGTGTTAGCCTCTGACGCAGTGCAGACCCCCAGTAGTGAGAGCGCAGTCCTGGAGTCATGGTTTCTGGTGCAATGAGCTGGTTAAAAAGCCAAGCACTGATGAAATGAAAAAGCTGGGAGAAGAGCTGGATAGTTAGGGCCGGGTTAACCCGACACCGGCGTAGAAGAGACATGGCATTCATCAAGGTGTCCAACACCATCTCTGCGACCAATGAGACCAAAAGAGGAAGTTATAAGATAGTAAGATAGTTTAATCTGTTTAACTGTTAAAAACTAACATTAAACCATATACCTATACCAGCCGGTAGAGCACCGTGTTGCTCCGGATCAATGAGAAAAGTTGGCAAGTGCTTAATCAACTCCCTCTGCAGGCAATGTAGCAGGAAGCTATACAGCAGAGAAAAACAAACCATTAAGTTTATCTGGTGAAGTCAGAAAATCTCTTATAATCTTTGTGTCACTGTCTTCTCCTCTTAGATCTGAGTCCAACATCGGTCTATTTTTAGATCGGTCAAGAGGATTGACACTATGGCTCTAAACATGTTGAAGTCATCCTAATATGACATCTTTGGGTGTTCCTCTGGGCTCCACTTTAGGTCCAATACCATTTTCCCCTTGGGGCAATATTTTCCAAAGCTTTCTTCTTTTGATACTTTGACAAAGCGATGTACTTATCAATAAATTGACAAACTGCTAATGAGTTGGTGAAGCTGGAGGATTGTCTAAAAGATGCTTCCAGGCTTCAGCAGCAATATGTAATGCTATATAAGTACAGGTGTGTTTGAAAGTATACACACTCCTATTAAAGAAAAGGATAATTTCCCCCTAGTTATTCAAATAACACAAAACTCAGAAAGGTTATAATAAATACAAATTTGCTAAATGATCATTTTGTCAGAATCAGAAATACTTTAATAATCTCAGAAGGAAATTACTTTTGTTACACGCTCCACTTACAGTTTTATATATGTACACTCACCGGCCACTTTATTAGGTACACCTGTCCAACTGCTCGTTAACACTTAATTTCTAAGCAGCCAATCACATGGCGGCAA